ACCCGTATCATCCCGCGTCATCTCCAGCTCGCCATCCGAAACGACGAGGAATTGAACAAGCTCCTCGGCCACGTGACCATCGCCCAGGGTATGTTTCCATCTCCGATAATCGGATTGAATCGAATCGATCTTTCAAGTCTGAATTTACTAACTGCTTTCACAGGTGGTGTCCTGCCCAACATTCACCAGAACCTTCTGCCCAAGAAGACCGGAAAGGCTGGCAAGGGTGCTTCGCAAGAGCTTTAAACGTCTGTTTGGAGCAGTTTTTGCGTTTTGATACTCGTTTCCGGTTTCTCGCTCTTTCGGTTTCAGTCTAATGTAATGGCGCGGGGTTTTGGGATTCCCTTTTCTATATTTCAATGTATTGTAACTTCTCCGTTCCCGATATCGTGTCTGTCCATTTTCCCGGTTGGTCTGTTTTCTTTTTCATCCGGTGGCATGGATCAACGGTTCATGATGGGTATGATCACGCGCTTTTCCGGCAAGAGAATAGAATCATAATGCAATTGAGCTATGGTCTCTTGATTTCAGCCTTGTAACGTGAACATGACATTTGAATGTGGATACGAAATCGAAAGCGATGAGCAAAATGCAGTCCAGCAGCTATGTTCAGATCAGATTTCCATTCCAGGTCGAGTATCTAAATCTAACCCTGGCGCGGCTCTCGAAGAATTGTCGTCTGGTTGTACACGGGAGCTCTGGGCGTCGACCCGATGACCCAATAGTCTCTGGGACCCGACTTACGCGCCGATTTGCGTCGATGCGGAGTTGAAGTTGCCATCTCGTCATCGCGGTCGTTGTTGTCATTGTCTTCTGCATGGTCGACAGCATTGGAGCTGCTCGGAGCATCTTCCGCACGTGGAGCCGCGTGGGCTTCCACGTCTCCGCTCGATTGGGTAGCTGCTCGCCGCCCTGCACGCGAGTGGGCCGATGCCTCCTCGTGAACTGGAGCTGACTGCATCCGCGTGGAGACCTCGCTGTCGGCGTCGATAGCTGCCGCGAGCTGCGCGTCGACCGCAGACGGAGCGTCCAACGCGCTGTTTGGGCAGCTCGCCTGTTCGCTTTGTTGTTGCTGCTCTCCAGCTTGTCGCGCCACCAGCTTTTCTCGCAACCGCAGAACGGCCTATTCCGCAATTTCATTCACACATTTAGCTTCATTCACAGGTTGGTAAGTAGTCGCCCGCTGCGCGATCCACACGCATGAAGAAGAGAGCGTACCTTGGGCATCGGGCTCGCTTCGAGCAGCTGACGGAACCTGAGATCCGTCTCGGACGACTGACGCCGAGCGTCATCCATCTTGACTGATGAACTCGTATTTATTCTATTGGCCGGAAGAGAAATGATTGGAGGTATCACGCATGCAACGGACAGGTGAAAGAGCGAATCGCAGCCTCTCCAGAAACGCGCGACCGCCTGCTCACAGCTTCAAGCTGCAGCTCGCCAGCTGCTAGCTTGCCTCCACTCTGGCTTGGCACCAAAATGGCAGGCACCGTGTTCATCCAGCCCAATGTGCAACCTGATTCAGTCAATATGCCCGCGCGCATCCACAAATCCACGCTTACATACATGCAATGTATGTACATAAGTACATTTACATGATACACCTCGATTACCATGGAAGCCGCCCCGAAGCCTCATGCTCGCTTTACTGTGACGTCGGGCTGCTTGTGCTTCGGCGCCCTGCACAACATCTGGGCAGGCAGCTTTGCCAGCATCCAAGCCTTTCCCAACGTCCGCCCTCAGCCGAGCGGAACCGTCAGCGCTCATCAGCTCGAATACAACGTCTCTGCAAAAAACGGGACATGGATCGCTTTCCACCTCGTCGATATCTACTCGCAGCAAGTTTGCGCCTGGTTGGTCTGCCACTCAGACGTCGACCCGGAGCGCGAGGTGGACAAGATCCTGCGCGTTTCCGGTTCTCCCTACGAAGAAGACAGCGGAAGCAGAATGAACGATGACAAGACCAATCAAGAGGGTGTGCTTGTCATCAACCGCTACGACTGGGGCTATCACAACAAACAGTTTTTCGACGAAATCGGTGAAGGCGTATCAGAAGGGGAAAACGATTTCCTCGCGAACTCCAATTCCGCGGGCCTGGTCGACCACGCGCATGCCCAAGACCAGGTTCGAGAGTGGAAGGAGTTACGCCCCAGCGAGAGACGCCCGAGTGCCGCCGGTGTGTGGATGTACACGCCGCATGCAGAATACATGTTTGGCCGGTTTGGCTTCGACGACGCCCATAGCGCGGCCCGATCCTTCCTCTTCTTTTCTACAAATACCGTCTTTACGAAGACCGCATTCTTAGGGACCGACAAGTCTCTGAGAAAGGAAGAAACACACGAGGAACGGTTCCAACGGCGATTGCAAGAAGGCTATGACTTCTCTGGAATCGAGGATCTGCGTAGAATGTCTACACCGATGGGTGGTCCCTCGCCTTTCATGCTCACACCCCGGGCACCTCCCGAGTCCGAATATAGAGGCCCGTACAAACCGGACTGCTACATCTTTCGAGCACAGTATTTAGATGCTCTGCGCCTGTATAGGCAACATCCTACTCCCCACTTGAACAGTGCCGAACCCCCAAATGTGCCCGTCTACAATATTGTCGAGTTCACTAGCTCGTTGACGGACCAGCTGCATGACCTCCTCAATGAGCTAGCGCTGAGCTACCTCGACCAATTCATCGTTCCGTTGTCCAGCAATGGACAAGCCGCCGCCGAAATTTTGTTTCCGAATCACGGCGACGGCAATTCCCAATGCCTAGACGTCCATGCGTACCGCTACTTTACACAACCTCACGCGGATCCTATCCCCAATTTCGATTCGGCTTCCGTGGAACTTCGTACAAGAAAATTCCTCGACAGCCGATCCGAAAAATCTTCTGTGTCGCTAGACGATGACTCTATCGCTGGTGTCTGTCGAGTGTTGGCATATCTGATCTCGGAAGCACTGAAGCATGCAAACAATACTGCTCGTGATTCTTATCGAAAATATATGGTCCCGTATGATGTGCGCTTTGGTGTTTATATGAGCCGGGATCTGTTTCAATTGTTCAAGTATTCTCGCGTGCTTTGGAAGGGCCGATAGGGAGGAGATGAAGTTTGGCTACTCGACCTGGCTCGACGACAGTCCCGTGTAACCCACAATAAAATTTTACATACATGCGTGAGTACTTGAGTAGGTACTTGCTCATGTAGGTACTTGCTCAACCTAGGTATATTCATATATATGCCGATACAATTGCTTTCAACGAAATTCAAGAATGACTGCTTTGGAGCTGAGAGAAGGGCAAACGCTGCATCCCAGCCTCGCCAACTCAAGCAGGGGCCGTGCATGGATATCTACAGAACGACCCTTCGCGGTGAACAAATCCATGCGATTCGGAGGCCCGCTATGCTCATATGAGCAATGCTCTGACTAAATGCCGTTCTTCCAGCTAGCGTGCCGAAAATTATCGGATGGTTGTGCAGCTTTGGGCTCGACCAGGCAAAACGCGTCGGCCCCACTAACGCGCAGTGCCCCATCTGGCCATCGCGACCCATTGGCTGCACGAGTATTAAGCATCTGTATTATGCATACAAGCCAGTCAAAACGACTCGACATGCATTGGGCTTGGTGGAGCATGTCTGTCGGAAACAGAACAGCTCAGAAGTGCGGTTTTGGGCTTTATATTGTCCGCCTCCACCTCCATGATGCCTCCCGGACTTGACATTTCGCCCAGCCCACTTCGAAAAAGAATATCTCGCCGGCTTTTTTCCCCTTCGTGCTTGCTCTTCCTGCTTTGTTGGAACGTTGGTGTCGTCACCGGTTTTTCGTAACAGCATACAGCAATGGCGAAGAACTTGTCGGGCGATGAGCCTGAGCTGGCGACCAACAATAGCGACGTTGGGCTCAAAGCCAAAGAACAGGCCTTCATCACCTGGATGGGGAGCTACCTCGATACGATATCGGTTGTTGCAGGCCTGGGGTCCTCCATCACCTTTTCCGTCATCGTCTCCGAAATCGTGGACCCGGAGGCGCTCGGCGGGAACCTGACGGGCCTCAAACCAGGCGCCGTCTTCAATCTGGATCAAGTACGACTGATCATCACGCTTGGTTGGTGTGTCTTCACAGTTTCCGTGGGAATCGCCATCTTCGCAAAAGTCCTGTTCATCGACCCCGTCGCCCAGCGCAATATAGAGCAAAACATGAAATCCAGCTTCTTCCGGTGCCAGCTGGGCGTTGTGCTGTTCCTTCTCAACATGCTCCCACCGGTCGCCTTTACGCTTATATCGCTGGCGGTGACCGCATATGTGCCTACGGTTGGCTGGATCGCAACTGGGTTCTCGGGAATCGCAGCGCTATTGGCGCTGGTTATGTCTATTGGCGTCGTGGATATCGGACCCTCCATCCCACGTCTGCTGAACGACATTGCAGTAAGCAACAAGTCATCGTTTATCGGGGAGAAAGCATTCGTACTCACATATCCAATCTACTCTAGACACCGTAAGTCAACGACCATGCTGGAATTGTCACGAATGCGGGCTGGATTACTGTCTGGAAGGGTGCAATGGAGAGACATTTAAGGCGCGGTTGTGTTTATCGATATGTTTTGATGATGATAATGATAATCTTAATTACAATTTTTCGAGCTGGAATTCGGGGAATAAACAGAAGCACAACATTACTGTATTGTTTCGTTGGTGTATCATGCTTTTCTAAGTAGCAATATACGATATTTGGAAAGCATCTTCTCGGCACTATTCTATCGAATTTAATCGGATTTTACCGATGCCTTAAGTTCTGAAAGAAGATAAAGAGAAAGAGTATGACAGCAATATTTAGTTGGGTATATCTACAAGTTGTCACTGGGCGTTTAGATAGGTAATTGGGTACTTAGTAAGCTTGTATGGCTTATTCGCACCGACGACTCACAAAGAGCAACTTGCAATGGCGTTGCGATCCAGAATACCATACGCGAATCAGCTTACAAATGCAAAATCTGAGCCCGGTAGATCGTCGGAGTGGTAGCTCAGTGGTTAGAGCAGGAGATTGCAGTGCCATGCGCTTCAAATATCTCAAGGTCGCGTGTTCGACTCACGCTCGCTCCTCACATCCAAACCTTCTTTTTTGGGTTTTTAATTTTTTTCCTCGCCACGCCTGATGCAACACAATTGCATTTCAGAAACCAGCCCGAGAGAAATGCCGACATCTCTCGACCTGCCAATAGCGGCCACTAACTCAATATAACTCGATATAATGATGATTATATATTCTTCATTCATGTTTGAAATTTTGCCACAGGCAGTTGTATTTTTCGCCATTAAATGATTCACAAACCTTGTACACATCTATATAAGTACAATATCAATCACTGTATAGCTGGCCCGTGTGCACAAGCCGACAGGGAGGCAAGCCAACAACACAACTTCTACAACAGGGTCGGACGATATCGTCGAACATGGCATCACCTTCCTCAAAGTCGAATTTAATTTTAAATCTCGCTTCAGCTAGTGTTCTCGGTAATATAAACTTCCCGGAGGATGTACCCGAGCTTCAAACGGTCTCGACGAATTTTCTTATCTTCTAGCTTCCGTATGGGACCGTCTAGGGTGGGCCTGGAGGTTACACCTGCAAGGGCACCATGGTCCCAGCTGCTAAGTAGCTGGAAATTCCCCGAGGGTCAACGAACAAAAATCATGTAGATGATATCTTCAGGAACGTCGGGAGGCATCTCGGCGGCCAATCCCTTGTCATATATACTGGACAAACAAGCATAGCCTGGGATAGTTGCTGAGGTAGAACTTCGGGATCACGAAAAGCCAGGCAAATGCGGCCGGCATCCACGATGCCCCAAAAAAATTCCGACTCAATGGAAGGATTCACATGCGATCATGAAATTCGCGAGTTTACAGAGTTCGCAAACAGTAGCTCAGGAGTATCTATATAAGAGCAATGTCAGCTCACGGATAAACAGGTTCTACATATCCGCAGATCAACCGAAAGCCTCACCGAACAGGTCTTAGTATAAGCGGTTGGCAAAACCTATCCAAGATGAAGCTCCAGTTCTCCAGTCTCACACTCTTTGCGCTTTGCGCCGCTGCTATTCCTGTTGATCCTCCGCTAGATTCAGAGGGGATGCAGAGTTTTGTCACAAAAGACGGGTATGTGGCCGAGTATTTCACCAAATTGTCCTACCAAAGTCGGCCGCTGATTTATGATACAGCCTCCTGGATACTCTCGAAAATCTTGACCGCATCGGGGCAGAGAACGGCGGAAACCGGGCAACTGGGACACCTGGGTATGCTGCATCCCTCGAGTACCTCAAGTCCCGCCTCGCCAAGTCGAAGCAGTACAGATACTGGACTCAAGAATTTCTGGTCCCTCTCTTCAACGGATCGGAGAAAGTACAATTCACAGTCAATGGCGAGAGCATCCCTATCACCAGGCTCAACTATGCCCCCGAGACTATGAGTGAGGACATCAAAGGGGCTATCGTCAAGGGGCCAATGGGGACTGCCTCTTGCGACACGAGCAGTTATGAGAACCTGAACGTCAAAGGACAAATTGTTCTCTTGGATGGTAGTGAATGTCCTACCGGCAATCTCCTTGAAAGTAAGGTTGACACTGCCCTTGGCGTTGGCGCTGTTGCCGTGATCATCTATCGCGACGATGGCGATGGCCCCCACGAGGCTCCGGTCCCAGAATGCCATCGTCCGGGTGGTTTCATCAAGAAGAGCGATGGTCTTACGCTCCTCCAACGCATCGAGTCGGGCGACAAAGTTACCGGTCATTACCATCGATCGCAGACTGTTTCATTCGAACGGACCCAGAACACCTTTGCGGAATCCAAAGGTGGCGACCCAGACAACGTTATCATGCTCGGGGCTCATCTGGACAGCGTCGTATTCGGACCGGGTCTGAATGACGATGGGTCGGGGGTGTCTCTTCTACTTGCACTGTTCGATGCCGCTCAGCATTTTCTTCCCAAAAACAAGATCCGTTTCGCCTGGTGGGGAGCGGAAGAAAATGCCATGATAGGTTCAAGATATTTCACCTCGCATATCACGAAAGAAGAGGCGGACAGGATTCTCGTTTATGTGAACTTCGACATGGTTGGGCGAGGTCAGGCTTTTGGAGTCTTCAACAGCAGCAGCAGCATGCAAGGTTTATCAGCAGCGCCGGGCTCCACTTATATCGAGAAACTCTTCGTTGATCACTTGGTGTCGAAGGGTATCCCGATTACGCCCTTTCCCTTCACCAGAACCAGCGACTATGCCGATTTCATGGCTTTACTCAACAAGCCAGTTGGTGGAATACACACTGGCATAATCCCCGAGCGCGATCCGTGCTGGCATCTAAATTGCGATACGCTTTCAAATATCAACATTACGGCGCTGGAGATCAATGCGAAGGCTGCGGCACATGTGATCGCCGTCCTCTCGAATGACGCGACGGACAACATACCCAAGACTCCATACACCCCACAAACGGGTGTGAGAGACTTTGGTCCCGCTGACGATGCTGATTCGCTTCCTTGGGATTGTATCGTTAGGAAGCAACTGACGACTATCGGAGGCCAGTAGTCGATTGAACGAGTGGTGCGACGGTGCGTCATCTCAGAAAAGTGCATTGGGTGTCAGAATCCTTGACACTGGAAGGTCGAGTTGGTTATAGATTTGGGCTACAGGTAGTAAAAGTTTGATCGTAGGCAGGGCTGGCTATGATCGTGTCTGCGTGGAACATTTCGCAGGAATTCTCAGTCCTTATTCTTGATAATGTATAATTTAACAATAAGAAGTATCTTTTGGTTTTTTCTTTTCTTCCATTCATTCAAACAAGATCAATCGGTCAGAAGCTAGAAGCAGTAGGAGTCACGGTACCAGAGCTGTTGTAGTGACGTAGTATCCCAGTGCCAACGTGAGCTCAAATCCCGACTATACCAATCGACGTGCACGAAGGGGCCGCCAAGGTTCGGTTTGAAGCTAATCCAAAAAAAGAAAAAAATTGTTATTGTGCTGAATGGGTCTTCGTAGCCAAATAATGGCAATGCAATACAAACTTCCGTCTTTTGCATTTTTTGACCGCTTCTCCTCTCTTGCACCTCGCTCCGGTTACCACTGGAATCGACCAATGGTCCCTAGATCGGAGAATCTGTTGAATACGCCAAAAGATTGTATCGCCGAAGCTCCATGCTGTATGTATGTATGCATACGTGTGTGCACAGAATGAACGAGGTCTTTATATTTGAAACTCGCCTGGCTCTAAGGCACGAGCGTTAGTAGCAATGTAGAGCCGGATAGGAAGCCATGAGTCTGCTCGCAATCTAGAAACGTATAGGCTACGCGATGAAATTACCCCAACGCAGTTTCACCTCTTAATAGATCGATCACGGGCATGCAATATAACCGGTTTCGGGCCGCAACTCCAAAATGGATAGAATGGAGTAAAACCCGATCTCTGCTCTTTCCCTCGCGGCAGGGAGACCTTGGCCGACGAATGGTATATGTGTGAATGTGGAGAGGTGCTTCGTGGCTGATTTGCACCCGGAGCTCCGGGCGATTGTATTCTGGAAGCCCCTCAAACTGGTTGACGCAGGATTGAATCGTCCGGATCTTGGCATTCTGGGAACACATCGGGGAATCTGAGTTCAGGACAGAAATCCTCAAAAGCTGGCATTCGATTTTCTAGGCTATGTTGGTCGGAGATAGTAGTCAGGACTGTAGCAAGATTGCAGCAAAATGTATAGCAGGGTTGTAAACAGGGCCTTTTGTCATCCTCGAATCATCAATTAAACCTTGAATTTATTTTGAATAAGATCAAGATGATAAAATGACAGAAAGAGGAATAGAAAAAAGTAGAATCGCCAAGCAAAAATGCTTTCGGACCACGATGTGTTGTTTTTTCTAGTGCTAGGCAGCTCTATTATATCAGACACCAAGTCCTTTACTATAATAGTGAAACTATTGTGGCTTTGGCGGGTGAGACAAGACATGTCTGTACCCGGCGCTCGCGGGGTCCCGAAGAAGAGGTGAGAGACCAGACACGTCTATACCCGGCATCGGATGTCGCCTTTCGACATTCAGCACCTAGGTAAATTGTAAAAGTAAAACAGAGAAAAGCCCAATGGAAGGACTTTGCACTCGAGTTCGAGGTGCCGCTGTGCGACCTTCAAGGATGATGATGATGATGATGATGATGATGAGGAACAACGACATGGAATTGCTTGAGGCGTCCCTGTAGGCACGCTGTTTTGGGATGGGGGGCGCTTAGGGCTGGTGATTGAGTTTTGAGCGAATCGTCGTAAACAGAAAGTCCAAGGGAGAGAAGGAAACCCGATATTTGTGTTGTGTGTGTTGGTTGATTGCTGAAGCGGGAACGGGCAATAAATCGATTGGCAGGAGTGAAGCATCGGCTATGCTTGTAAGGGCAAGCTAATTACCATTTTTGGCAAGATGTACCTATATTCGGTGGGAGTATTGAGTAAGTACTAGGTAAGTGCTTACTACTTATTACCTGGGAAGGGTGGCTGGAAATAATAGTAGTAACTGCTACTAAGTAGTATATACGCTACTCCGCAATAGGCACACGGACAGGGGTTAGAACATACCTGACAGTCGACAACTGCAATCGACAACACACATTTCCCATTGGCTCGCAATCACATACCGATATTGGCTGGATCGCGTCTAGCTTCTCGGATTGCTGGTACTTACTTAATCTCGGGTGCGCTGGCTGGGACCGGTACATCGCTGTCGGAGAGTGGCCGTATTGGATTACATACTATTTGGAGGTTGCGGCCATGCCCATGCGAATCTCCGATCTGGATGCTGAGACATATCGCAGACCTTTGGACCAAGCAAGCAGCTCCAGCGCTTCGGTCGTCACAAGATGGCCTTTTCAGCCTCTTCCAAGAGAAGTGGAACGGCGACGTGAGGCTCCTGCCGCAGTCATTCTAGAAGAATCCTAGCTTGGTTAGGCCGACGCAGAAAGAGTGGTACGCCGGGATGTAACCCTCCGCATCTGAAACCGATCACTCCGCGATCTGTCTTGTGGCGCCCACGGCTACGAGCATGCTCTTTCGCGCGCTACTGTAAGGCCCGCCGAAACC